AATGGCATTTTTACCAAGATGATTTTGTAAATAATTTAAATATTTACTAAAGCATTATATCATATTATTTAATAAATTAGTGATCATAATAATAGATAGTTTTTATTAACCAATGTACCAGTACATTTTATTTAAATTTGTAGATATACATTATATTTATATTATACCTTAATTTCTCATTAATCTAGCTCGAGTAAGTATATTAGATATTATTTTAAATAACTTCAGAAGAAAATAAAATTTTAATCATATAAATTCTGAATTATTGAAGTCACATTTCTCTTGGCATCACTAATTTATTACTGTATTAATCAGTATACTTTAAGAAAGTGCAGTGTTTGCGAATCTTTGGTAGGGTCTTTCAAAATTAACATATTTTTTAGAAGATAAAGATCAAGTTTGTAATTACAAATGTCAAATTAAACAGTTATTTGGCAATACACGTTTATATAGTTTAAAAAGTAATCAGCAACCCTTATGAAAATTAAACTGCAACTTAATGTGATTAAACACTCAGCTTAAGTTAGGGTTAGTGTTATGGTTTAAAATTAAATTACTATCGGACTTTTGATAATATTTGAACGCTTTTGATCATTCTTTTCAGCACCGATTTTTTAAATTAATGACCAATCATAATTATTCATTAGCCATGACAGAAATACAACGTAACTCGCTTTACTGTTACTAATTTAATCATGAATATAAATAATAGCTACGTTGTAGATCTGTAGCTTGAGAATTTATGTCAATCGTTAATTGCTTTCGCATTAGTAAAAATATAGAACAATTTAGGAGTTTTAGAACATCCAAAAAAAGACTTTTTATTTTAGGATAATTCGAAAGCAAACTCCCAGCTATAAGAAATAACCTTGACCGAACAGTAAAAAAAAAATTAAGATCTTTCACTACAAACTTTGATGATCAATGATTACCTATTCACAAAACCAGTAAATTTACTGTGCTTTTACTATGTAAAATCCGTTCTACCATATAAGTCATATGACAAATGATCTACGTATTTATATCTTTGTTTATATCACTATTGTTGAAAATTTTTTGTTAAATTTTTCCACGTGTATATTTTTCTTGTGTTTCATTATTAAGTGGCTGTGTATGGGAGATCTTGATCTGAGACCACAGATCTTGGTTTGAAATCTTGGTTTGAGACCGCAGATTTTGGTTTGAGACCACCGATAAGGGTCTAAGACCACAGATCTTGGTCCAAGACCACTAGAATTTGAAAAGTATAAATACAACGCTTATATTAATAAAGAACATTATTATTATGTTATAATTAGATTCTTTTGCTCCGACTAAAAGACTAAATAAATAAATACATTCTTTAATAACCCATTATCATAAATTCCAAATCCTTTATAAACATTCATCTCGCATAACCTATGTTTGTAACCCTGAGCTAATTTGACCTCATGTTAGCCAAGTCTCTCCCACGGTTGCAACTCTATTCACTTCGACAATGCGTACGTATAAGCAATATAAGGAGTGTTGGTAATTTTTGCGGCCAAACAATTTTTGGGGCCAGCCAACTACCAATGGTCAAGCTTCGGCCAAAAATTTCTAATTTATGTAATATTAGCCAATCATATTACTAGTTTTTATTGTATAAACTTTTGGTCATTTCGTCCAAATAAATTTTTTCAAAAATTTGGCCAAATATCTATGTGACAACACTGAATATAAGTAGTGTTATAGTCGGGAAGAAACTTATAATATTTGTTGCCGAATTTAGCTTTGGGCCACAATTATTAGAGGATTAAATATTTAAAAGTAAAGGTAGTTTACGACGAGGGAGCGATTATTATTATTATTTTATTGAAGTAGTATTCACTCTCTTTATAAGAAGTGATCCTTTATATTTGCTCTAACTAAAATGACCGGATTACCAAAAACGAGGAAAGAGAAGCGAAGTGAAATAAAGTACACTTTTTACAAGGAAGGTTGTAATGGAAATTTCCAATGCAAGGATAAATAATAATTTGATAACATAATCCGGTGTAGCTGCTCGTTTTGGGAGAGCAATGCACAAGAGTGTGCAATATAACTCCAGCCGTTACTTTAAGGGTGTTCTCAAGCAGCACGCTCGATGTGATTAGCTATTGATTGAAATAGTGCTCAACCATTATGACGTTATTAATTAGACCATTTTTGAGAACCGATAGTATGATCTTGAAGACCGATAGTATGGACAATGATATGATTGAAATATGCTCATGTATCTTCCACAATGGATAATTTATGATCGTGATGATGCTCAAGTATTATGATTAATTAAAATATTGATTGCAATTGATGCTTGAGCAAACGTCTTTATCATTACTACCATTTAGCAATTATTGTTTTACAAATAATAAATTAAATTAATGAAAACGATGGATAAAAAATCTACAACACTTCCAAATTCTGTTACTTCATTTTCAGAATTTACCACGAACCAACAGAACACAAAAACGTACCTTTTTATTTGCGGTGAATATTTTTAGCATAAATAATAAGGTTGATAATGATTTTGAAGATCCATAACGATAACGATAACAATGTAAAAAGAGTGAAGTACTTGAACAATTATTTTTTTCAAATCAATCAATGAAAAATTTTGACCAATAAATGCAACCCTATGATAAAAATAGGACATTTGGGCCTCTATCTCTTGTTGAGTGGATGATGAATACCCTTGGTCGGTTAAACGAACTTCCGATAATAAAATTTTTCTTTTTGACGTATTAAACTTTGTTACGTGTTTTATTCATTGGAATAATCAATACAATTGATCGTTAACCTATTTTTTTGTTAATTAAAATTTACCCTCAGACCGTTCCGACGGGTTGATAAAGGTGCTTGAGAACACCCTAAGTTATATGGATTGGACGGAACAAAAATATAGAAATTGTCGCGGCTGAAGCTGGAAATTTAAAATTATTTTAATATGAAATTTTCAAAAATTTTTGGGACCTTTTGTTAGGGGTTTTTTTAGGGGTAGATTAGGGTTTAGGGGTAGCTTTAATAATAAAAGAGTATAGGTGGATTTATATTTTTAAATCAAGGTCCTTAATTTCCAGCTTCAGCCGCGACAGTATTTTACAAAGGCGGCTAATTACAGTGGGACTTAATGAAAGAAATTCTTATAACCATGCTACTTTACAATGAAACGGGAGTCTTCCTTCTTGTTTAAGGTGGATGTTTCATTTTTATATATTTTGATTAATATGAAAAAACACACTTTCTGGAACCTAATATTACGTCAGAGACATCATGCTATCATGCTTGTCTCGTGTCAGACAGTTGGCTTTTTAGAATTCTAGTACTAATTTAGTTAGATGTCCAGTTGGATCAAAAAAGGAAAAGTCATAAAATTAATTCATTACACTGTTACAATGTGTAAATAATAAACATATGAAAAATTTCCATAAAATAGTTATTCCATTTTTGGATTTATTATTCACATGCTTGCCACTAGTCACGTTCCTCGTTTGACAACAGACTGATGAATGGCTTTGTCATGCATTCGTTCAGCTAAGCCCCAAATAATTTCTTGATAAATCATTTTGCTTAATAAATACTTAAATGTAATTCACACTCTTTCAACAAGCTTCTTTATAACAAACTCTGAATTTACTGAGTCTTAACTGTGAAATTTCATCAGTATACGTATAATAATGTACGATTTATAAGAACTTATTTCTAAATAACAAGCCCGTACAATAGATTATTTATAATTTACAGCACGTGGACAGACTCTTCGGATCTTAGGAAGTTAATGCCTTTATGGGAAACGTCAGATAAATGTGTCCGAAAAGAAGAGGATAAATTAGAAATAGTCAGATTGGATAATTGGATAATGCAAGCAATCATTAAGAAATAAAAAAGGCAAAGTTTTATGCTTTGATCCGTGGATATCCGATTATTTATTTAACTAGGAAATTAGATTCCTCTCAAATAACTTCAATACAATATCCCACATTTATAATATATGTTCCGATAAATTTTTTTTCTTTAAAAAAAAAATTTCGATTTCCAAGATTGGCAAAATTAATAGTATTTGATGCATGTACTTACGTACTAGAACAGGTTCCGGTAGACTTCATCTACTTACAATTAAGATTAATTAGCCAACTTAACCTCAAAAACAGGTCATAAACAAATATGTTGATATCATTCATAGAGTACATATGTAGGAAAAATTTTTTTATTTGTTATGAGCGTACATATTACAGTACTATTTTCGTATGTTTGGCTATTTATGTATTATTTACAATACTCCTTTAATTACCATTTTAATATTTGCGTAAATTTTTTGTATTTACATTACATCATAGTGCATTAAAAAATAACAAGAACGGAGATTTGACTTTACAATAACTCCGGACACAATACTATAAATTTACTTTGTTAATAAATTTAAAACCAGATGACCAAAAAAACACTATAGTTATATACATATAAGGCAAAAACCTGTTTATTACAACTTTCGGATTTTCGTAACAATGGGAAGTTCCGAGCGTACAAATGAGCATTAAGGAAACAATACACAAAGATTATCCAATCAAATATTAGAATGGCGAAAGTAAAAAATTAAAATCATAACACAAAAATTTACTATAGTATTGGTATATACGCCCTAGTCAAAAGTATTCCTTATAGTATTTCATTACACGAATACTATAACTTTAATTTTAATATCTACGAATTTAGTAAGTTATCCAACATTAATTATGAAGATTTTTGCCATAAAAGGGTATTAAATATAAAACAATAAACCAGCCAACTATTATTGTGTCATCTTTTAAAAATTCGTAAACGCTGAAAATATAACTGCCAAAAAAATGCCTATCTATCCTTAAATTTTTTAGAACTAAAACTAGATAAAACTGAACTAGTTTTAGAAGTTTGATTTTTTTAGTATTCAGTGTTATATATATTTTTTTGAATTAATCAAACTCTTCAACATCCTGGATTTTAAGTGATCTATAAACTTGATTACTATGTCAACTCCCTCTTATATTAATCTTATTAATGCGGCTTTTAAAACCGCAAGGGGAACCCATGAATTTGTAACTGAAAAAGAATTTCGTGATAGGCAAGATCGTAGAGAAACATACGTGTATAAGCAAGTTGATTTGGACTCATTTCATCAAGTTAATCTTGTCGGTAGTAATTCCAATGCAGCTATTAATAGTGGACAAATTAGCTTATATTCACCCAATCAACTAGCCCGTCAACTCGAAGCTACTCACATTAATGATATAACAACTCCATCATTAGTCCAAGAAAGTTATGGACAAATTTATGTGAAAATGCACACTGGTAATACAATTCAGATCAAATGTAAAAAAAGTGATGCTATCGGATATATTAAACGGAAAATTCAGATGAAGGAAGGTATTTCGTCCAAGAATCAGAAAATATTTTTTGGTAATAGACAATTAAAGAATTGGAATACACTTTCTTACTATAATATTTCATGGAATGATACATTAAATTTCGATTTATGTACTATTAATATATATATCAAAACGCTCACTGGTAAAAATATAACAATTGAATGTGTAGTAAGTGATACTATTGATAATATTAAACAGAAAATTCAAGATAAAGAAAATATCCAGAAAAATAATCAGAATTTGATTTTTGGTGGTGTGTTTTTGGAAGATAACAAAATACTTTCCGAATACTGTATTAGTAAGGAAAGTACTTTACACTTAATTTTACGTTCACGTAATAGTGGAGTAATTAGTTACTTGAGTGTGAGTGATTTTTTGGATCCACGATTTGATTACGATTTTACAAATATTAAAGACATTGGAAAGACGTTTATGCGAGGATTAATACAGTATAAAAGACCATGTGGATGGAAGCGTATTGCTTTAAAGGTTACTGGAAAATATGATAACGGTGATGATAAATGGCTTGGTACTGGTAAAGACGCTTGGCCAGTATCTTATCATGGCACTGCTAAACATAATGCAAGATCAATTGCTGAGGATGGTTACGATTTGAGCAAAGGAAAACGGTTTGCTTATGGACGTGGCATTTATTCAACGCCTGACATACATATATCTGAACAATATGCTCAGCAGTTTGAGTTTGAAGGAAATACCTATGTGATGGTATTCCAAAATCGTGTAAATCCTAATAGTTTACGAAGATTTCCTGTTAGTAACGGTGAGTATTGGGTTTCTGAAAAAGGTGAAGATATCAGACCATATGGAATTTGTATTAAAAAAAAGTAGTCCATAACTGACATTCCTTTTTAATTTCTTGTTATATGATACGTCATGATTTCTCATATTTATTATTATTTTTTTTTATGTCATTTTAAATTGAAATTGCGTCATATTATTATGCTGTCAAACTTCTTTAAGTACAATTTGCAGCGACCAGACTTTTGTATTATAGAAACCATGTATATATTCGAACTAAAGAATTTTAAGTTGTATTTAGAGTATTTGTTGGCAGTTGACATCTCTTAAATAGTTATTATTATTATGATTTAGTACCATTTAGGATAATCATTAAGCACTGTGATTGACTAATCTACTTTAGTACATAATATTCTAAGGTAGATAAATATTGACAAACAGTAGCTGATTTTGATTATGCTTTTTACAATTGTATCATAAATGATTTGTTGATTATAACATTTAAAATAATTGACAAGCATAAAATATGTAAAAAGATATTGATTCGAAGTCAAGAATAACATAACTTCTTTAATCACTATAAAAAGAAGTTTTATAAGTTTTTTTTTTAAAAAAAGAATATTTTAATGTATCTCCATACTTTAAGATATCTAAGAGTTATGTTCTTTCTTCAATAAAGCGTTTTTTGGCATTTATTCAACAAATACAATGTTAATGAACAATTCTATTACCGGCAATTCTTAGTTTTATTATGCGTTTATTTATCTTAACTTGTTTCTATTTTATAATAAATGCAATTTTTTTTTATCTCATTATTTCTTAATCTTTGTTTACAAAACTTTACATTCCATAATCCCTCCTATAGTTATGTGAAACAGGAAACACGAATGACGGCAAGCACGTGTCATGCTGATAATAATAATTACGCATTTATTAATAGCGTTAAGATTCTACGGAAAATAGATTTTATATCATCCTTAATCTGATGCATTTTTTCCTACCTGCTAACTAATATTTTGGGACAAAAATTGTTCACCCCTGTAATTTTGACCAAAAAAATTTAAGATCGAGTGTAACGTACATCACCCCTAATTGTTAGGGTGTGTGTCATAGAGGAGGTGAATTTTAAGAAAATAGATTTCCGGCTATGTTTTTGTATAATTTATCGAAGTGTCACACCCACAAATATTTTACTTATTCAGGAGAGCTAGGGGCTTTGCTACTAATATAGTAAATAAATTCTATCTACAGACTTCGAAACTATATAGTATTAACTTTTTTATGCCGTACGTACCGGTATTAAAAAGGATTTTCAGTTCCATTATTTCCGTGGCGATGCACGCAAAACTAGTTTAACCAATTAATTAAGGGATGATGCTTAATATATGATGTAGTAATATGTTTCACTTAGTGCTTAAATATGGTACAGTACTGCAGTAACGCAATAACTTTTATAACGATAGCGATAATGCATATGTATCTATATATTTCTCTTTTTTTTTTTATTCTTGCTCCGATAATTAATAATTTTAGACAAATATATTTAAAAGATAATAACTCTTTTAATGAAATTATTAAAGAATTGTATAAAATATACGATGAAAAAAGATTAAAATGTGATGATTCGGATTCAATAATTAAAACATGGGATAATTAACACATGGGATTAAATTCTAACAAAAAAGAAGCAAAATCTAGATAAAATTATTAATTGGTGTTTGGATAATAATCCCATGGTTCAAATCACTCTTACAAGGTGTTATCGTTTTGGTAAATGGATTGAAAAAAACGAATGTAAGGCATTTGTTAATTATTTGAAGTCTGCTAACGTGGATTATGCCGATGGAATTTATAATGTTGGATTTTGTTATGAAAATGGAATCGGTGTGAAAAAGATGAAAATAAAACGTTCATTTATTATCAAAATCTGCTAATATGGGTAATGCTAGTGGGATAAATAACGTTGGATACTGTTATGATAAAGGAATTGGAGTTGAAATAGATGAACATAAAGCATTTATTTATTATCAAAAATCCGCCAATATGGGTCATGCTGTTGCAATAAAAAATGTTGGTTATTGTTACCTTCATGGGTCTGGTGTTAAAAAAGTTGAATATAAGGCTTTTATATGAAAAATTTTATAATTGTTTAATTTTTTTAATAAAAAATCAAATTTGTAAAATGCTCAGTATAAAATGATTTTATTTAATTGTATAATTTACTTTTGGTATTAATTTAATCGTTAAATAAAGGTATTTCTACTTAAAATTTTTTAATTTAACCTGTTATAATATTTTTTATTAAAACAACCAACTAAAATAAAAAATTTATTAAATAGCTATTTATAAATTGTAAATAAAATTAATTTTAAATCTAATTAAAAATTCCAAGATATAATTTTTACATAAAAACAGATATTATATTTTGAGCAATATAATAAATTAATTAATTACGAAAATAATGATTAAAAGTTTTAATTAATTGAATTAATGACGCGGAAACTAAATTTTCCAATAAAAACTTAATTTTGAGCCTATGTTACATTAAATGATCCTAGCATTAAACCAATTCAATCTCAAAGGAAAAGATAAATTAAGCTTGCAACATTTTCAAAAGAATAACACAATACAAATTTATAATGGTAATTATTTATTGTAGCACGTTTTAGATTAAAAATGCTTTAATAGCTTTATACTCTAAAAACCTCAAATGTATTTATTAATTTACATTCTGATTCTCTTCCATTTTCATTAAATTAATTTAATTTATTAAAATTTATACCTTCTATCTGTAAAATATAAATTCTTCTCCAGCAAATTTTCCTATTAACAGCCGGTATATAAACAATTTTGAGTAACACGTAAAATTTTTACTTTAAGTTCTTTTTGTGAATCTTTTTACATAGTTACCCTCTGTTGTTTATTCAAAAATCAAATAATATTTTGAAATTGTCGAACTTGGCCCTTTTAATATGAAGCACCCCATATTTAAAAGGTGTACAATATTATAACGCACGGTAAGAATTTCTTTTAAGAATTTTCTCCGGTGTACAATGTGAAATTTATACTTCAGTTACTTCGTGTGACAAAACATGGAAATACTTTAGTTATCATGAGAGTGGTGTTAATTAATAACTCCGCCTTGAAAAAGAAAATAATGCATACTGTATATTTATGCTTTAAATTTACATGAATTCTCTTTATTACATCTTTTTTCTTGCCATATTTAATGCGGTTTATTTTCTTATTATTTGCCAAAGTATACCTAGTTTCGATCTGAACAAGCAAGTTCCATAGTCGGTTCAAGACTTTATTTCTTTGGAGGTTCGACCAAACTTATACTGGTATCTTGATTTATCAAATTCATTTAATACAACTATACCACCATGGCGCAAAGTCGGATATAATCTTGGTAGTTCATGTGCTAGTCCTATTGATAAATCGATTCTACTGTTTTTTTAATTGGTGGAAAGATGTTTATTCCAAATACACATACTTATAACTTTTCTTCATCAGTATATAAATTTAATTCTAAAACTTCCAAATATTAATAATTATAATTATAGTTTCGCAAGGCGTAATGAAATGCAAGCTGTGGAGAAACAAATTTTTATAGTATTCCATTTGTTGCTTATAATGATATGAATATACTTGATACTACTACCATGATATGGTCAACATTAACTCAACCTCTAAGCACTCTTTGTATGCTGATTACACGGCTACATTGTTACCAAATGGTCTTATTATTACAATTCTATCCTTCATTAATATGGATCAGGGATGATTTAGAATTATTATTATCATTATTTTGATGTTCAAATATTATTTTTAAAAGATTTTCTTTAATTAATATCAAATGCAGATTCGAACATTTGATACAAAATCTTACATTTAGTCTACTAAAGTATTGTATATGCAATAGTAATCAATGAGCATTATTACAATTAATTATTAAACTTAGTTTTTTATGTACATACGTTTTTATTATTAGATTACCAGTGGTTCTACCATCTCATCTCGTGCTGGACATTCTGCTGTTTTAAGTATGCTATATATAATAATAGTATTATAATATAAAATTCGATATTTTTATTACTAAATATTATTTATTATATTTTTTTGACAGCTCAAGATGGAAATATTATTTTATATGGAGGAGCAACAGTAGATGTTATTTCCGGTGATTTCAATAATATATTTTCAGATATCTCATTATTAAAT